CTTTTTGATGCAATTGTGAATGGAATTGTTTTCCTGATTTCTCTTTCTGATAGTTCATCATTAGTGTATAGGAATGCAACAGATTTCTGTGTATTAATTTTGTATCCAGCAACTTTGCTGAATTCAGATATTAGTTCTAGCAGTTTTGGAGTGGATTCTTTAGGGTTTTTTATGTACAATATCATGTCATATGCAAACAGTGACAGTTTGACTTCTTCCTTACCAATCTGGATGCCCCTTATTTCTTTCTGTTGTCTGATTGCCGCAGCTAGGACCTCCAGTGCTATGTTGAATAACAGCGGGGAGAGTTGGCATCCTTGTCTTGTTCCCAGAGGAAAAGCTTTCAGTTTCTCATTGTTAAGTGATGTTGGCTTCCACAACTTAAATTTTGATGCATTTGCTTTAAAACATGTATATCCATCTATCCATCCCTCTGTCCATTCATTATTCCATATTGGGTTTTTTTGATGCATTTCTAACTAGGTTGCAAACATTAGTACACTTCATTCCTAAACACTTCAGAACACATACATCAGGAGAGAGTTTTTAGAAATGTCCTAGAAATGTGGGGCAGATACATTATCTAAGTCATTCAGGTAATGTACCTTTAAGGTACCAATTGTATGTGTGTTTGGGGAAGCTATTACTTGAGGCAAAGGCTGGTCTGACAAAGCCATGCCCACTGCCCACAACTGTCCTGAGTGAGCGGAATTCCTGCTGATGAAATTATGAGCCTTGACTTTATTATTCTGAAAGAACTGATAATCTTTCCCCTTACCCATCTGGTGTCTGAATCAAGATGCTGTCATCCTAATGACTGCATAGAAGGAATTGTACTTTTTAGGTGACTCCATCAGGACAGCATGACCCAATACATAATCACACATCTGGTGTTTGGAAGACCTTTACTTGCCTTATTAGCTACCCAACTAAGTTCTCCAAACTTTGGTTCTCTATTGCTTGATGATCAGAACCAAATTTTCAGGGCCCAAGATGGAAATCTTTTCAACTAGCAGACCAAATGGCATCTCCTCCTTCTGTAACATTTGTCAAAATGGTTTTTCCAGCTATTCATTTACTGATCCACTTGTATTATATTTTAAAGATACTTTTGTTTGTTTTGTAAATAGGAAGAATATAAATAATATTTTTCATACAATCTTGGCTTTTAAAAGTCCATGTTTTGAAGGAAAATTTTGTAATGCTTTCATTTGGCCACTAGAGGGCAGGGACCTACTTCTGCTGTGGTTCATTGTACACATTTTCCTCTACCCAGCTAAGCAAAATTTAATGCAGCCAAAATACAATCTTCTGGATTTTCCTTCCATGAAATTTGTTTAATTGAATCCAAGAGTTTCTGATTTAAGTCGAGAAAACTGATGTTTCTAGTTCTTTTGTTTCCATTATAGTTTCCAGTATGATGAGAAATAATTTCATGCTAATTTTATTCTAACTCATAAAAAGAATATTTAGGAAAAGGCTGGGGAGAACTAAAGTCACAAGTGGTGACTTCTATTGATTCTTTGAGTGGGACAAGGAGTTTGGCTTTTGCATTTCTACTCACATATCCATAGAGTGGGAATTATTCAACTTTTTAGTTGATATAATTTAGGTGATATATAACAATTTCATTATAATATGTATTATTATAGGTACTTTTTTGTTTTCAACTATTGTGCTTAACTGTGTTATTTGACTCATTAATTTTTTTATACATGAATGCCTTTTTAGTGCAACCAAGTAAGGTCTTCCAGAATAATGTTTACAATTATACATCTCTGTGTCTCAGCAAATTTACCTATGTTGTTATAGACTACAGAGTGAACTAATACAGTAGAAAAATACAGACTTAAGACTATGACACATATTTAAACACCAATCTCACTGTTAACTGTGTGGCCTCTAGCAAGTAACATGATTTTTGATAAAGTCTTCCTTAAAGACCTGTAGCAACACCTCCAATTTCTTTGCTTTTTAATGGAGTTGAGCACGCTGCCTAAGCGCAGACTGACTGCAATGAAGCTGGCATATGTAGCAGTGTCTGTCACATGGTGATCTCCGGCAGCATCTGTTATCCATCTCTATTAGGGAAATGTCAATTAAAATCTGTATACATGGCCCTTAATTATCAAAATATTTTAAACATCAAGTCTGGTGTATTTGCTGTTATAGATTTTCACTAAACTAATAAGTAACATTTGTTTCCAGAAAACCATAAGAGGCCCCTGACAAATGTCCAACTACACAAGGAGCCCCAGAATTCCTTAGCCCAGCCTTCCAACTCCTCCTCCTTACCGGCCCTTGTCTCTCCACCTTTGTTCAGCCACTGGGGTGGTGAGGAGTGGCGGGCTGCCAGCCAGGTGGTCCCTGGCCCTCATTCCCCTCTCCTTCCATTGCTCCCTCAATGCAATCCCGGAATTCCAAGCAAACTCTGTGTTTTCAAGCAGAGGGTACAGATGGGCAGCTTCTGGCCAAATGCAGTCTGCAGAGGTTCCTTGTTTGGCTTCTCCATGATTTAAAATGGAGAGATTTCACACAAAAATTCAGTTTTCCAGTTTTTCTCAAAACCTGGGCAATAATAAGCTGACACTGAGTGGAAGTCACCCCCTTTTACAGGAATGTAGGGGCTTTGTCTTACATGTCCTTGATAATAGAGATTTATTTTTCCTTCATCTTGACTCAAGTTGATTATTGGACTTTGTTTCCCAAGGACATACAACTACACAGGATATCTGCAAACCTGATACAAGGCAAAAAATAAGCTTTCTGGATCCATTTTGAGTTACACCTCCAGCCTGATACCCCCAGGGCATTAATTCTAGTTGGTAAAAATAAGCCACCACCATTATTGCCTTCACACAAATTGGCTTTCCATCACCTCCATTCTTTTCTCCATCAGAATTTTCTTTTCCCCCGTCCTTGTCCAGAAGGCTAATTTGAGCCAGTTGTCACATTGGGAAGAATCTAATTTATTGCCCCCCACCTGCCCAGAGTTCCAGAAACCTGCCTGAATGTTATGGGGAAAGTCAGATGCCCAGGGAACAGGGGCAGCTTCCTTCCCCATTTCCCAGGCAGCTGAGTTCGGTGACCACAGGCACCCCTTGAGCTGGGAGGCTGGGACGTCTTACCCCTACTGCATTCAAGCCAGAGGACCAGGCCCAGTGGATGGCTCTGCTGGTGACCCTATGTCTTTCCTATGTTCCCCTTACTTCACACCCTTCTGTACAAAATAAATGTGCTTACTTTATGAATTTTGTGATCAAACATCTATGATATTTCAGTCTTCTCAAGCCATCTCCCACAAACCCAAATGCCTGAAGGAGAGAGGCAGGTAAATCCTGAATGAGTAAAGAGGGAGCAGTCCTAAAGGAACAGAAACCACTTGGTTCTAAACCAAAGTGGGAGGTAGGCCCAGTGTTAACTGATCTGCTTTTCCAAGAGAAACAAGGAAAGAATTTTATTAATGCAAAATCTCCCTAATTAAAAATTTGGCAACAGTAGATGAACCAAAGAAAATATTCCCCTCCAATTGCAATTTCTTGCTGATCAAAAAATAAGCAACCTCTCTCCTTGGCATAATGATCCTAGGGAGAATTTTCCTGATGGGTGTAACTAAGTAACACAACCATACCAGAACTTACCCATCCAAAGCAGTCATTCTTCAAAAGACAAGAGCTCTACCATAGTGACTTCTGTTGGCTGCCTGGGTTAACTTGTCTAGATTCCTACCTCTCCCTCTCGTCCCAGGCTCATCTCTTCCACTTTGATGCCACCAGCTCTGAGCAGGTCATGGTAGAGAATCAGGGATAATTTGTTGAATTAAAATAGTATCTTCAATCACTTAAAGCAGTTTGGGAACTCATGTTTTAAAGATGCTTTTGGGACAGATTAAAAGCCACTTGTAACAATCAGTGATACTATTTTCATTCTTACATTTTATAAAATGTTATCATATGACACAATCAGCTGTCTGTAATTACATGACAAACTATTACAGCATGGAGCTCCAGATTACTTCCAGCTATTTCCTAACATCTTTTTTTTAAATGTACTACAAAGTAGTAGAACATGGGGATAGCCTCACTGTCAGTAAAATCTGCCATGAACCTGGAAGGCAATTCTAAGAGAAGAATTACAGAGCATTTAGAGAATTGAAAAGCATCATTGAAATGGTATGTAATTACCAAGGCAATTATTTTATAAAGACCAATGTTTACTCAACAAACATTTATTAAATGTTTACTCTTTGCGGATAACTAAATAGCTAGGGCACAGTGCATTAGCTGCTAGAAAGGAAGGAGTGGAGATTTCATAAGTTTATTATCAATATCCCATTGCTAATAAGTGGCAGAGCCCACATTTGAACCCAGGTAAGTCTGGCTCCAAAATCTGCTTGTAACCACCATATCAATTAGCTATTGCTGCATAACAAACAACCCTCAGTGTAGTGGCTCAGACCATCAACAACTATTTATTATTTTTCTTGAGTCACTTTGCCATCAGGGCCATTTTGCTGATCCGGACTAGGCTCAGCTCATCTTAACAGGGCTACTCATGTGTTTGTAATCAGCTAGGGCTGGTTGATCTAGAAGCTAGAAGGTGCAGCTCTCCTCCACGTGTCTCTCATCCTCTATCACTATAGCAGGGATCTGAGAAGGAGGAAAAATTCACAAGTGTCTTTTCAATACTTTGCATCAAATTTGCTACTCTCTCATTTGGCCAAAGCAAATCACATGGTTTGGTCCAGCGTCAGTGGGGAGGAAGGGAGCACCACAAAAGGGCACAGACCTGAGCAGGAGTAGAAATCAGTGGCTTTAATACAATTAAGCTACCAAGTCATACCATGCTGTGGTTACCTTGCTCTCCAGACAGTTTCAGATTTGATATTTCAGACTCCAAATGAATTGTGAAATTATCAAATGGAGACTTGCTGATTTAGAAGGTAATTTTTAAAAAAGCAGTAAGAGATGTGGAAAATGAAAGGATATTTATGATTTTAGGCTGATCCTGGGGAAACACCATCAGAGGCTCCGAGTGAAGCAGGGACAACTCCAGCAGAAAACGGAGTGAATCACACTACATCCTTGGCACCCAAACCACCCTCCCAGGCTCTCCACAGCCAACCCACTCCAGGTAAACACTCTGGAAACAGAGCTATACCACATGACTAAGAGCCTTCAGTTTATTTGTGCCACTGAGGGGGTAGCATGAGTTGGTCACCTATAGCACTAAGTGAGCTTGGGCTTAGGAGGAATTCCAGAAATGTGTGATGAATGAATGAATGAATGAATGCCAAGGGAGTTCCATGTGTGCTCATCTGGGTCTGCTGATAACTTAAGAAGCCACAGTAAAACATCGCCCGTATTTCCCATGTCTCTGCTTAGTGATGGATTGTGATCTATGCACTGGCAGGGGCTGTGGGGAGTTCTTCATGCAACTCACGAAGTTATGCTTTAAAGCACCTTCTTGGTTCCACCTCAGTAAGTCTCTGCCAATTCCTTTCAGTCTTTCTGAGGTGACGAAGTACTTCTTGAAGACTACATAGCTAGTCAAGAGTGGCGTCAGGACTGACACAGTTCTCTGTGACCCTAAAATTCTTGCTTTGAGCTCCTGGACTCCTGCCAAAGCTACATTCATGTCACCCTTCTTGGAACAATCCTTTGATTTCTGTGTAGCTAACTTCAATTTAATCTAAGACTGCTTTGGGCAAGTATCTCTCCTAGGCATATCCTGTTTCCCCAATGGATGACAGGCTTCCCAGGACAGGCTTCAGTTTGATGCTTCCTTTGCACAGAAACTTGATAACTTTTTGTTGAATTGGCTAATAAAGCACATGAAAGGGGAAAGGATTTCCTTCCATGAAGGTGTAGCTTCATGTCGCCTACCTTCCTTGTCACACTAGAGCATGGCAGGGATGAAATCCAGATTCTTATTTGGTAGGGAGAGGTGTTTCTCATGGGGGAGAGTGAGACATTAAAAAGAACAAATCATAATTAATTTGTGTCAAATGTTCATGAACCAGGGCCTATGCTTTTAAGACTGTTGCTGAGCTCCATAATAGTAAGATAACGTCTTGATTTATAAAAAGAAATGATATCTTCAAATGAGTATTTTTATATACCAAGTACAAATATTTTGAGTGTTTCTGAACTATAAAAGTCATTTAAATATGTGACTATAGTCACATACCTTTGAGAATAAAAGAAAATTCGGCATTTTAGCATTTGATTTTTTTTAAGTTGATGTTTTCAGAGAATTTGACTTAGAGAATTATGTTTAAGATGGCACAGAATATATCACAAACATGGTCTCCTGTTCTTAGTGGTAACATCTGTCAGAAGCGTGGTGCGATCATCTGACCAGGAAATTAACATTGGCATATTGCTCCGAATTCAACTATAAACTTTGTTTGAACTTCATCTGCTTTCCATTGATGTTCTTTTATTGTTCTAGGTTCCAACTCAGGGTCCCACATTGCTTTAATTGTTGTGTGTTCTTAGTCTCCTTTAATCTATGACAGTCGGTTAGTCTGTCCTGTGTTTCATGACCTTGACAATTTTGAAGAGTACTGGCCAGTTATTTTTATAGAATGCCCCTCAGTTTGTGTCTGATGTTTTCTCATGATTAGATTGAAAGTTATACATTTTTGGCAAGAACATCATGGTAGCAGTGCTGTGCACTTCTCAGAGCATCAGTTTTGTCAGGGTTACCTCTGCAGGGTTTTCTGATGTTGGACCACTTAATTGAAGTGGCCTCTACCAGATTTATCCACTGAAAGTTATGATTTTCCCCTTTAGAGTTAATAGATATCTTGGTGGAGATACTTTGAGACTATGCAAATATTCTGTTTCTCCTTAAACTTTTGTCCAGTGGTTTTGGCGCCTATCAATGGATCTTGCCTGCAACAATTATTACTGCCTGCTGGTGAGCATTCCATTTTTAAAAGACCACTTGCCATTCCTGATTTTGCCAGAAGGTGGCAATAGCATGGCCGAAACTGACTGTTGAAATGATTTGCAAAGTGGAATGGAGCGTATAGACTCATACAGGTTTGCTTCAAAGTTACAAAATGGAGACCTTACTTAGAATATTTTTTTAGAATAATTTTTGCCCATAATTGGTAATTTCTCCACGAAAACACTTAGACTCAAGGACTAAACATGTTTTACAGGAAGAATCAAATGTTTAAAGTTAAAGGAGCCTGTTTATTTTATCTTTTTATTTCAGGTTCTGTAAAGGCACCTGCCAAAACAGAAGATCTTATTCAGAGTGTTTTAACAGGTAAATACTACCTTTTTCTCTTGTAAGTGATGCAGCTGAATACTATACAGGGTACATATTTAGAGGAAAGAAGACTCCCCTTCATCTCTGAAAAAGAACATCATTAATATTTTTTTTCTAGAAACAGTTATGGATAGATGGTCCTAGTTTAAGGCATGTTATACAATGTGATCACAGAGAAGTAACAGTGCCTGGAAGATAGAACTTATTGGTATAAAAATAACATAATTTTACAAGCTAGCTATTTTAGAATCAGCGAATAGTTTTCTACTGGAAATGTGACCCATGAACAATAATACATGTCTTCCCAAAGTGTTGACAATAAACCACATTTTAGAAATGCAGAATATGAACCATTTGGGACTGTAGGATATACAGTGTTTGAGGACTATGATACAGGTTGGAAATATAAAGTATTTGGTGAATTCCTCAAACTAGTGGGACTAAAACTGTTATAAGCTTTCTTGAATACAATTAGCAGTATATTGTAGAGCCTTAAAAATGTTTATAAAACTTGGCCCACTCACAGATATTATACACATGTTCACACACACAGCACTATAAATAAGAACCCAAAACTGTAAACAACCCTAATGTCCATAAACGTAGGGTAGATAAACTGTGTTGTTGTCACAGAGTAAAATAGGATATAGCTGTAGAAATAAATTACAATCACACACCACCATGTATAAGATTCACGAGTATAATGTTGAAGAAAAGATGGTTACTGAAGTGTGTTCACTTTGTAAAAATATAAGGCTGTATATTTGTGATTTATGTACTTGTATGCATGGATTTCTGTTTCACCAAAATATCACCTAAACTATTAATCGAAAAATTATTTGAGGAATGTATTTAAACATGTTTTTAAAGATTAATTCCACAGGAAACAATCCAATTTTAACACATAGGACAAGAGACAGAATATAAATTGAGCATGATTTCAATGTTATTTAAAAATACATAAATGCATAGACAAAAGGCAACACTTGTGTATTAGTATATTAGTAGTGATTATCTTCAGGTGGCTTGTTTATGAGTGATACTTTTTTCTTTAGATAAAGTGGGCATTAACTTTATGTTCAAGCATATTCAAAGATTTTCATCCACATGTTGGAACACCTTGAATCCAGTTGCTAACTTGACATAGCTGGTACCCCATTTTTAAAGAGGTGGGATTGAATCTGTCACCAAAAATGCAACATTTGCTTAAGATTACAAATTCTTAATGTAAGTTACTATGCAACTGTAATGAGTCCATTTGGGCCCGAGGGAAACCATTAAATAAATGTACCTGATTCCCTGCCTGGCCTCTTTCTCAAAAGGAACTGACTGTCAAGAGAACAAACATCATAAAAAAGGCGGTCATATTTCAATTGCTTAAGGACTTTAGGATTGAGGAACATTGACTATTATTCTGATTTGAATATTTATCTACTAGGTACCTTATTTTCTATTCAGGTCTGCTGTTATTTATGGTATATATTATTTCTGTATCTCTCGACTGTTGCAAGTATTTATGATAATGTATTTTTGTCCCTGGAAGCAGAAAGTTCAAATCAAAGGATGAATGCATAAGAACTATGACTTAATCTAGGTCCAAATAAATGATAATCCACTGAAGTTAGGACACCATAAATTTCAAAGCACCCCACTATTCATGGATTGCTAAGAAAAATGCAGACACACTGCAACACGCCTTTGTCTATATGATGTATATTAAGTTCAGAAATGTTAACATTTTTAATAATGCCTATTCTAGAAATGATGAACTATGTTAATAAAATACAGAATGTTTTAAGGTCAAGCTCTGTCACATTAAATGTTTTCTGGGCATTGGATGAAATACTATGCAGTAATAATTAAGCTACCATTAACTCTTGTGGCCCCTTTGAGCAAGTCACATTAAGGGACCTTCCCTCATTTCACTGCTTTATCCTGGAGCTGTTGTGAAAAACATGCAAACTTACAATGTGTATACTGTGAATACTGCCCCCTGGAGATGGTGCTGTAGAAGGTTCCCAATTATTTGTTAAGCCTCTATAGGCACAGTGCCAGAAACTGTTAACTTCTTTGCATAAATTCTTTTATTTCATCACCATAAATACCCTAGCAAGTAGGAGAAATATTTTGATCCTTAAAGTGGTTGGTCTCCACGTAGATTGCCTCTACCATCTGGTCTACTCACCTCCCAGCTGTGGTGAGCATTGGCTGCTAACAACTCATAGCATCCCCTTCTTTTAAAAACTGCCCTCAGCCAAAAGGAAGCCCCCAGTCCAGGAGGGTCTGCCTCCCTGTACTGACTTTTCCAAATATGCAAGAAGCTGATGTTCTTGCCTTAAGGTGAGAGTGACTCCATAGTACAGTTCACCCTCCAGAGCAGCCCGTGGGGTCAGGCAGAAGCCAGATTCCAGCTAGACTATGTCCTTGCTTCTCTCTGTCCCCTTCCTGCTCTGTTCCACTCAACTCCTCTCCTCCTGGGAGCACCCCTTAGTAAATCACATGCACCTTAATCCCACTCTTGGCTCTGTTTCTAGGAGACCCAAACTTTAAGAAAAATTATGAGTGAAGCAGTTGGGTCTTTGAGAAATTTGGGAACACAGTCACAAAGCTAGTGAGTGATAGAGCTGGATCCTGGATGTGTTTGCCCTTAAATTTCTGCTTTGAAGCTCCAGCTGGCTAGGATCAAACAGATAATGCTCATCAAGCAGGTTGATACTCCTGCTTACATCTTTACCTCTAGTCCTTCCACATCTCTTTGTTCGTCTACTCATTTGTTGCAGATGTGGAAGCCCAGACTATTGAAGAGCTAAAGCAGCAGAAATCATTTGTGAAACTTCAGAAGAAGCACTACAAAGAAATGAAAGACTTGGTTAAGAGACATCACAAGAAAACCACTGACCTTATCAAAGAACACACTACAAAATACAATGAAATTCAGAACGACTATTTGAGAAGGAGGGCGGCTTTGGAAAAAACAGCCAAAAAAGATAGTAAGAAAAAGTAAGTTGAATAAGTATTTTCTTGTTTGTTTTATACAGCAATAGAAGAGAGTCCTTTACATAGTTTTGATGGTTTGTAGCATATCTTGGGAAAGCCACCCAATTAATTCCCTTCATTCTCTACAACTCTTGTATCACATCAGCTTGGCTGTGCTTGTAGACTGAATTTCTGTAATTGACCACATTCTGAGAATAGATATGCAGTAAATCCTACCCTTGAGTTCTAACCTGGGGGTCCCAACACCAGTTGTCTGACCTCCCATATTACAACTGCCAATGTGGCAAGTATGAAATTTTCCTGTGAAGAACCTTGTTGAAAAGGTGACTTGTGTTAGAAAAGAGAAATCTCAACTACCCTTTGCTGCCCTATCTGAAACCTACAAAGCCTTGTACAGATCTAGGGATGGGGGTTCCCACATCCTCTGTACCCAGACACTGATGGGGAAGAGCATCTCTCACACATTCATTCGATCTTTATCAAGTGCCTACTGTATGCCCAGGGGACGCAGCAGTGAACACTATGTGCACATTATCACAGCATTTGGTGAAACCATGTGAGCCTGTGAGCTACCATTGGTGAGCTAAGAGTCAGACACCCTCCCTTTCACTTCCTAACTGAATAATCTTATCTCGATGCCAGGTTATAGAGACAGTTGAGAGGCATTTTTTTAGATCTGTATGGTGACATATGATTTAACGTGTGCTTAGCTTAAAGGTGCTTGGGTTTTAAAAAGCAACAAAGTCATCATTTCTTAAGCTGGAGCAGTCTTAGAAGCCATCTAGGTGAACTGCCCCTTCTACAGGGAGGAAGCTGAAAGCTAAAGGTGTTAATATTACCTGTGGTGACATAAACAATTCGGGCAAAGCTTGGCCTAAAACTTCTCCAAAAATTCTACTTCAGTGATAATGTATGTAATTGATTATTTATTCACATATTTATTTACCATTAGTTACATCCTACAAATTTCCAGTAGAGTATTGAAGTAACTTATCATGGAAGACATATGTAAAAATGCTACAAAAAGAAGAAAAGGAAAACAACGGACACATTCAAACACAGACTGAGTTATCTGGACCTGCTGTCCAGTATGGGAGTCACTAGCTGTCCGTGGCTTATAAGCCCTTGAAAAACCACTGAAACCAACATGTGCTGAAAGTATAAAATGCTTACCAAAATTTGAAGGCTTCATTTAAAACAAAAAGAAAAGAATATAAAAAGCTCATTTTTATATTAGCTTATATTGACTTTATTTTAATTGCATGTTGAAATGATCATATTTTGGATGTGTTAGGTTATATAAAATATATGAATAAAATTAATCTCACATTTCTTTTGACTTTTTAAGGAAGCTACTGAAAACTTTAAATCACATGTGGAAAAACATCAAACACATGGCCCCGTCATATTTCTACTGCACAGTACCAACCATTTAATGTAATTTCTGTCCTTGAACACTGAATTTAGCTCTTAGCTTCTGAAAAAATGATATACAGATGGGTTAGATAATTCTCCTTATCTAATTAAAGGAAACTTGTTTGCCTTTCCAAGAGAAACAAACATTTTCTTGGTATTAAATTACAAAAGAATTCATCTCATGGATCTTATATAGACAATAATAGGCAACGGGATAATGTCCTCAACTGTGTTTTTACAGAAGATGCAGAAACATTGTTCCCTTGGTTATTTTTTTATACTTTCCTTCAAAAAACAAACAAAAATCTCTAACCACCTAGTATCAAAATATACATCAGGAAAAACTTTTCATCAAAGGGCAAAGGCACTGAGGTTTGATTAGGTGTGAACAGGTCCCATCTATACTGAGACACATTGAAATCCTAAAAACACCTCAGAGTAATAAATGGACATCATATCCATTCGATTCGTTTCTTACTTAGCTATCTGTGGTCTCAGCTGAGCATTGTGCATACTGTGAGGAGCAGCTCTTTCAAAGGTAGTTTCCCTCCAGACACAGGCATGCAACGATGCTGTGATTCTTAAGCGCACAGGCTTTGCCTCCCCCAATGTCTGTCCTGGGATAAGTTGCCCTGTGGCGGGTACTTCCTGGGTCCTTAGGCAGATTGTCTCACTGAACTGGAGCATCCTCGGTGTAAACTGGAGGTAGTCGTCCTACTCACTGGGTTGCCATGAAAGCCAGCAGAAGAGAGTGGCCGTCACATGTTGAGTGGCTGATCAGAGTTGACGTGTTGCCTCTGCCGTGGTGGTTGTGGCCGATCAAAGAAGCACCTTTGTGTTCTGGCTACATTGATTCCCTGCTACAACAGATGATCAATGTATCTCATTGGAGGTCACCTCCCCAACACCCCCTGACCTGACGCTGATGATAAAATACCCTTATATTCATGCTAGGATGGAGGGCCACCTCCATGCTCACATGTGATCCTGCCTTGCACATGCTCATTCCTGTTTGGCATTGCAAACAGAAACCTTTGAGGGAATTCTGCATCCCTTTAACAAAATAGGATCCTGATACCAACATCAGCCAAGTGCCTGTCCGCATGACAGCAAGGATGCCGGCACAGGCAACAGGAATTAGTGCCAGCTGAGTCAGGAACCTTCTCCCCGCTCCACCTGGCCACAGGTGAAAGGTGTAGTGGCAGAATCCCATGTACTGGGTGGCTTAGGTGCTTTAGTTTTCTTTCTGCAGAGGCTTCCACGGAAATGAAAAGAGCAGACCTGCTTTCCTATGGTGTCCTACAAGAAGAGCACAAAATATGAGGGACTCACACCATATGTTTTAACCCAATAATGAGAGAGTGAGAACTGCTTTGATTTATTTCCACATCACTGCCAAACTTCTAAATATCTTTTAATTCTCTATATATAACTCAAAGGAAGTCCTACTTTGCACAGGGTAAGCACCCCATAAATATTTTTGAATGAACTGAGGCATCCTCCTTTCTCTTGTAACCTCAGCATTTCAAGGAAGCTGCTGTTTGGGGGTACAGATATCAGTGAAGTTGCTACAGCCCCCAAATAAATTTATTTTAATAATCTATCTTTGCTATTAAAAGATGTCAAGAGGCAGAACATGTCAGTTGGGAGGGTTGCCAGCACATGACATCTGCACACACTCTTAGTTCAACCTGCATCACCCTGTGCAAAACTCGGCCCTTCCTCAACTCCCCCGATCAGTGTAGAGTGTACTGAGGTTGTTATAGGAAAAATACATGGGAATTACATTATACGTGCCACATTTTTTAAAAAAAGATAAGAGCCTTTGCAAATCTTTATTAGACATTTTAAAGATAATCTAAAGGGGGGATTCTCATTCTCTCCACCACTGCCAGGGCCCCTGGTCTCCTGGCTGTCCTCTCCTGCCCCTACCTCTCCCTAGAGCTACACGAACTTCATCCGCGTAATGTGTTTGGAGCCCCTTGGCTGCTAAGCTTGTCCATAAGGTATCAACCTCTATTTTAAGTGGATTATCAAAATATTTCTTTCTACACATAGCACTCTCTCTAGGAGGAACTGGTGACCAACCTTGCCTCTACCTTGTGATGACCTGCACGTTTTGTGAGTCAAGCTCTGTGTCTCTGCAGATCGGAACCCAGCAGCCCTGACCACGGTTCCTCAGCGATTGAGCAAGATCTTGCTGCCCTGGATGCCGAAATGACCCAGAAATTAATAGACTTGAAGGACAAACAGCAGCAACAGCTGCTTAATCTTCGACAAGAACAGTATTACAGTGAAAAATACCAGAAGCGAGAACATATTAAACTGGTAAGCATGAGAAATATGACTTGTGTTTGTACGGCTGGAACCCACTTTTCTATAAAAAAATTTTGACACTCTTGGATGACTTAAAGGGAGATGGTGGTAGGTCTGGCTGGCACCTTCTTTTTTGCTTCCTTACCCAATAATCTTATTGTGATGCTAGATTTTAGAGGGAAGATGTATTTCTCAGATCCATATTGTGATGTGAGATTAACATGTGCTTCAATTAAAAGCATAATCAAAATGCAATATTTGGGTTTTCAAAAGCAACAAAATCGTTATTTCTCAGAACTGAAAATTGCATTGTCCACGTAATGTCTACAATACTAAAATTTTATGAGCCCCACTATTCCAGCATGTTTACCAGGCTTCTCTCTGTTCTCTAATGAGCCCATGTGTTATTGTTTTCATTTTCACTCACTTCGTTTTGGGTTATAACAGTTTTGGGGGAATCTTTGAACTCTCACAAGGAATTAGAAACCAATTATCTTTGCTCAAGAAAATTAAGAACATGCTGCAAATAAATGTTTACTTTTTTTTGTATCACTGGGCTTTGCAAGAACTAAAAAGTAATCACACAGTCGCCTTCTAGATACATTAGAAAATTCGGTATCTAAATGACCAATATGGAATGTTGTCGTCTCAGTGGCCGAGGCTCCCTCTGAAAGGAAACACCGTCATCTCTGTCAGTGATCAGTTTTGTCCTTCCGAATGTTTTCTCATGAATTTCAGTGACAGTCTCTCCATTGTTGCTTTTGCCTTGACACATAGTAGGATCATGATAAGTATTTGGTGACAGATTAAATGAATCAAACAAGAAAGAAGCTTTGAAAACAAGTTTGTGCTAAAACAAAACAAATGCCTAGGCTGAGAGAAATTAAAGCTGTGTACCCGGAGATGGGTTCTGTTTGTACGATCTGTCCATTTCTTTGCTGAGTGCCTGTCCATGTAGGAGAATTCTGAGGCCCTTTCTGCTTGTGGGGTTGAAATCAGTGGGTAGTTTAGCCATATAATTCAGTGGTTTATTGTGATGCTGGTGTTCTAGCACTGCCTTTCCAGGGACAGTGCACGACTGAGCAGGTCATGTGAGGAGCTTATCAAGAATCTGATTCCACTCGGTCAGTAATTCTCAACTTCAGCATTCATCAGAATCATCTGGAAGGCTTGCTAAAACATAGGTTGTTGGGCCCTGCCTTGCATTTCCAGCTCAACAGGTCTCTTGTGGGCCTGGTGATACTGGTGCTTCTGGTCCCAGGGCTACACTTTGAGAACCACTGCTCGATACCTAAATGTGAAGCTCAAGAATTTATTTTTAACAAGTTCTGCCTGATTTTGGTGGTCAACCTTATTTATGAACTACTGAAGTAAGATCTAAGTGGTGAAAGAATGGCCAGGCAGGGGTTGGGTTTTGGTGAAAGGACGGAATTGCTTTGATCTGAGAAAGTAGAAAGTCAGAGAGAAGTTTAATGGGAGATTATGGCTTTGGGACCCAGCTACAACCACCACCATTTGACTTTCTCCAATACTCCATCCCTACCTAGGGCTCCAGAAAATAATAACCATAATTAAAGCTAAAATAGCAACCAGGTATTGAACACTCACCATGGGGCCATGCATTGTGCCAAGCCATTTACAGCACTTGTCCAGTTTAATACTTAATAACAACCACTCAAGTTTGGGGCTATTGTCTTCCCATTTTGCAGGTAAGAAAACTTACAAAGAAATGTAGTGACTTTCCCAAATTTCCACAACTAGAAAGTGGTGAAGTTGGGATTTGAAGCTTGGCCCTCTGACTCAATCCCACCTGCTTTAAAAACATTGTGTAGATGCCTCTGCTGAGCTTACGGGCAGGCATATCTCCCCTAAAGGAACCCCGGAGTAGGAGATGAGGTGGAACTCCTCCTGAAGGCAATCCCACAACCATGTGCTTCCATTCCCTTCTAAGAAGGAATGAGTGTATCCATAATAAAAGTTTTGGGGAGTTTCCAGAGAAACACACAGGTAAAGCCAAGCCAGACTGGCCCTTTCAGGCCAAATACAAACTTCCTCCTCAAAATTTTCACCCCTTCACCATTGTGATTTGTGATTGTGGATTTCTGTTTGCAATAAAGCCCCAATGCCTTTGAACACACCTGTATGGGCCTTTGTTAAAGAGGTTAAGGCCTCGTTGCCTTAGATATAGAATCTTAGATATAGAATAACATTTACTTTATGGCCATTTGGGGCCATCCACAATTTATACTACGTGCCTATAGTGGGCATGTATCAGAGATTTCTATCATCTACATTTGTGACAACCAGAGATTGTTCTGCCAGGAAGTCTTTTGACTGAAAGGCACCCAGAAGTGTCAGTTCTATCTTTGGTTGTGGTTATGAACAGGCCTCTCAGGCTAAATTAGACCAATGAAAGTGTAATTAAAAAGCAAGTAAGCCCCAGGTAAAAAGGAGTATTTGGGTGATGAGAAAAATTAACAGAAGATATTTCATCTCCCAGAATTGCCTTGGGAATTAAATACAAATGTGTTTTGGTTAAGGACCGTACATTTTAAACACTGCCAAGTGTTCACTAAACACATAATATTTGTAGAACACTCCGATAGGCACTGGAGATAAATTTGAAGAAAGCATGATCACCACACAGTCATTATCATAATTACAAACAGTTATAATGCCATGTGATAAATGAAATGAAAAGGTATCAGCAAATTGATATGAAAACAGATGTGAAAACAATTTACCTAACTTTATAAATTGATAAACACCAAGAGAATATTTTTTGAGGTAATTGTTCATATTATCATAGGAAATACAAATGCACACCAAGCTTCACAGGCTCTATAGCTTCAAAGAAGTTTTTAGTTCTATCCAAAAAAAAAAATTATCCTTAAATTCTATATCCAAAGAGCTCTGCTGCCTCGTTATTCAAAATATGGTCCCTAAACCACCTGGGAGCTTGTTAGAGGGGCTGACGTTGCAGAGCTGCAGGTGCAGACCCTGACCAGCTACATCATCATTTGCATTTTAATAGATTTTGCTATATATTTTAATTGAAGAAGCATGGCTTTAGAGCCATCAATTCATATTGTTGCTCAAAATTTGTTTTACAGTAAGCCTAGATGGGAAATACAGAGTGTGCCCTGCTGCTCACAGCTTGATCATCAAGCTGATGAGTATCCATGGGTGACACAGGCACGGGTCCTTTCTGCCCATGTTCACAGTACAGTCGCTTTCAATTAGAGGTGAATGAAAATTAAATGTAAGTTCCCTGACTGCATTCAAGTTCTTTCACCCCCTGAAATCTCTCCATAGATATTGTGGGGGTCTGTGGGCCCCAGGTAAGGACTTCTGTTCCAGGGAAGAGCTATGGGGCTTGGAAATCTGTTCCAGCTTCTTTTCCATCAACTGCCATAGGTTGACCAAGTTTTGCCATATCATTCGGGTGAGCTTTTAATTTTAAAAGTGGCTTTGGTAAGGGATGGACCTTCTTAAGGGGTCCCTCCGAGGGTTCTCGATCACTCTGTCATCAGCCTCAGCATCGCATTCAAGGCTCAACATCCACAATGCACAGCCTAGTGAAAGGGGACTTAGTGGTGATGTCAGTGGGTGCTTGACCTGCCACTTTGTCTTCTCAACCTTTCCTCCTTTCTAGTGGCTTCAAGAAAATATTTCTTCATTTTCTGTCACTATCCTCTGTTTCCTCTTTTTGTTATGCTTTGCTTTGCTTCCTGCTTTTCTCCTTCTCTTGTTTTAAGTTTCCCACATGTTCCAATTCCACACATTTCTCTTTTCTTTACCTCCACCTTAATGGCTGTTACTCTTCTTATGCATCTTCCCACCTATACACCAACAGTCATTCCTCCGCACAAGCCAGCATTGGCACACATTGCTCTGAAGTCCCCAATTCCCTGCCAGTCCTGGGGTTGGAAGTTGTGTTTCACAGTGAAAGCCCTGGGTGAATACTGACCAGCTACCAATGGAATGGCCCTCAGGGTGTGAGTGGGGGTGACGGAGGATCTACAGTCAAATGTCATTTCTGGCCACTGCTCCCCCACTGAGTAGCTGCATGACCACTCTGAACTTCTGTTTTCTCATCTGTCCAATGGAAACAAGAATAATCAATCTTCACTTCACTGAACTATAAGGAGGAGTAATGAGATAATGTGCACAAATCATTGCTTTTAAGGAAAACCTTTTTTTAAAACAATATATGAATCGACTAGGAAATCTTAAATTCAAATATAAATATGCATTTGCGTCTTTAACCTCTTGCTGCAGCCTGAGGGAGCTTGTCTTCCTCTTGGTGATTTCTGTTGGTACCATTTGCAGTTGCAGCCTGTCCGAGAACCAGCCTTGAATTTTCTCCCTTCTATGGTCATCCAGCTGAAGTATATGTGCCAGGAGTAATTGGAGTTTCAGGAATCTTACTGTACTTGTGGCAGTGTTTTCTGTCTCCCTCCAATATTCTGACTTTACATAGGATCACTTTTCTTGAGAAATTAATGACTTAGCTTTTCTGAAAACTTTACATTGCCCACCTAACAAGAAATGACAAATAAATAAAAGATTTTAGTAGTGCAGTAGAAGAATGAAATAATTTTCAAATGTGTTTTCTTATTTGTCAGTTTTCCTGATCATCGTTGGGTAACTCTAATAGAGTTGATGTTCTTTTCAAGATTACATGCACGCACACACACACACACACACATACACATGTATATGCATAGATATAGAAATAAAATTTATCTTAAATTCTATTCCTTTAATTATGAGCAAAAATGAGCATATTTCTGTGTGTGTATTGTTCATTTATATTCCTTTTTTCTACAAACCCCCTTTTTGCATCCATTGCCTACTTTATGCTAGAGTGTCTTCTGTTCTTTTGACCCACAGATTTCATGCCATATCTTTTCATTTATTATTTTGGGAGCTTTGGGCAATAAAACATAAATAAGCTTATATAATCAATCATTCAGAAAAAGTTATTGAAGGCCTCCTGTGATCCTCAT